CAGAAGACGGAGAGCAGCCTGGCCAACGGGAACCACCAGCCCATTAAATCTGAGCCCGAGAGCAAGAACGAGGAGCCCAAGTAGCCCCTAGGTTTCTGTGAGCGACCCCACTGCTTCAGCAAGGGCCTCAATGGCAACACCCCCCTCAACACCCCCTCACCCCACCCCCCAGGAGCTGCAGCACCAGCTGGGCTCCGGCCTGCAGAACCAGCCCGAGGTACCTCCTGGCCACTGCTCTCCATGTCCCTGCCCAACTGCATCCAGATGGAGCGGCACGTGACCCAGCTGCCCCCCATCAGCACCCCACCTGACTTATTGACCCCAGATGACGGGGCAGCCCACGTCACGCACAGGGAGGTGTGAATGGCTGTTTTCAGCTACCTGTGCTCCTGCATGTGGGTCTGTAGGACATGGAACCACTGGTGCTGTGATAAGCGGTTGTGGACCTGCATCAACCTGAACCACTGCAAGTCTATCACACCCCTGAGTCATCCGGCGCCGGCCCGTCTCTCTGGACCTTAGCTGGACCAATAGCTCCAAGAAACAGCAGAGCTGGCTTATCAACCAGCCTCCTGGGCTTTAAGACCTGGTGCTGTCTGGCTGCTCCTGGATCGTAGTCTCGGCCCTGTGCAGCTCCAGCTGCCCAATGCTCTGGACCCTGGATGTCCAGTGGGTGGAAGGACTCAAGGACGCCCAGATATGGCACCTACTGTCCCATCCCATGGATAACAGGCCGAGTCCAATGAACAATCAGACCAAGCTCTGGCACACTTGGAGCTGCAACTCAAGGTGCTGGACATCACGGTGCCTCTCTGTGGCTCATCATCCGCCACCTACCCCTGCTCCCCAGCTACTGTACCCACATCACTGACCAGTCCACCAACCTGCTCACTGCCGTGGGCACCACCACCAGAGACTCCTTGAGTTAGTTAATTGTGCCAGCCTGGCTGATAATCACATGTGGTGCTGGTTGAAAGGCGGAGGGATAAATGGGTGGTGAAGCCTCGCCTTTCTAGTTCTCGGGTCTCTTGTTTTGTGATGGTTGCATCAGGTGCAGCTGCCTTAGCAGTTCCCTGCTTCAGCTTGCAAGATGGATTTCCTACAAGACATCCCCAAGGAGAAGCCACATGGATCTATCCCGATGCAGCCCTGGGTGCTGGAGCAGCCATGTGGAGACCCCTGCCAGTGCTGAGATGCTTACACGTTCACTGACTCAGCTTTCCTCCTGCAGTCGGCATTATTGCCTCTGTTTTGTGAGGTGAAGGACTTTGTGGACTGGTGTTGGGTATGGGTCAATGTTGGACTTGTGGGCTTGGGCAGCATTGGGTTGGGATGTTTTCGTGATGCACGTTTTCTTTGCATAAAACTCTCTCTTATACGTGAGTTGCTGTGGATTTGTTTCTCCAAAGTACCTAGACTAATACACTCCTTAACTGACATCACCCTGTCAGACTGCAACAAGGTCACTGATCAGTGCCTGTCCTTCACGCGCTGTGGGAACATCTGTCACCTTGACTAAGGACCTGCAGCAGTCACCAGGAAGGCTGTGAGCAGGTCATAGCTGAAATGTCTACCAGTGTCCAGTTTGGAAAAGTAGAAGAGAAACGCCTGCCAAAACGGAGTTAGTCCAAGGGCAAGTAGAGGCTGGACCTTCCCTTCGGAAGCATATTCCTGGGGGTTGGGCGCTGCTTTGTGCACCCAGAAGTGACACATGAGGGTTGTGGAAATATATAGATTATGGTTTGAAGTGAGACACTTTGCCAAGTTTTTACCTTTTACTCAAGATTTTGAAATTCCAACTTCAGCCTTTACTCTCAGGAGGGTCCCACCTGGGCATGAGCTCTTGGACTGGGTGAAATTCACACAGGAAGTCGAGATATCAATTCAACAACCCAGAGGGGCCTCTCTCCTGTGTTCTCACCTCAGCTGTGTGAGAGAGTTCCCAGCTGCGGTTTCTCACTTGGCCCTTTCCTCATTGTCACATTACGCATTCATAAGTGTCACTGTCTAAGGTGATGTTGTCCCAGACCTCCCCTGGGGACATTCTATTTTTGTTGACTTTGTAAAAGCAATTGTACAAAAAGCAAAAAAAGAATACCCAAATCCTAACAATAGGACCAACAGATAAACATCAGGGTAAGCGGAGCGAAGGCCGAAGTTGTCAAGGATTTTGACAAGTAGGCTCGAGTCCACAATCAACGTTCATGGAAGCAGCACTCAAGAGATCAAAAGACCTGTTGCATTAGGTCACTCTGCTGCATTCGACCTCCGTAGAGTGCGGAAAGGCAAGGACACTACCTTGAGCCATGGTATTCTTTCTCCATTGTCTTACATTCATGTGAAAGTTGGACACTGAATAAGGGAGACTGAAGAATATACACATTTGGACGGCGGTGCTGGAGAAGACTGTTGGAAGGACCATGGACTGCTCAAAGGACAAACGGACCTGTGTTGGAAGAATTAATGCCAAAGTGCTCCTTAGAGCCATGAATGGCAGGACTCGGTCTCACGTGCTTTGGACACGTAGTAAGGAGCAACCAGTCCCTGGAGAAGGACAGCATGCTGGGTAAAGTGGCTGGGCAAAGGAGAAGAGGCGGGCCCTCCAAGAAACGGGCTGACAGTGGCTGCAACCATGGGCTCAGGCGACAGAACAAATATGGGGACGACACAGGACTGCGCAGTGTTTGGTTCTGTTCTACACAGGGTCACCATGGGTCAGAACTGACTCCATGGCACCTGACGGCATTTGCTGATGCCAACTTCCAAATTGTCAGTCCCTTTTTTATCATGGTCATGTTGTCATAAATCTATTTTTTCCACTTCATTTCTACCTTTTTCTGCTACTGATGTGAAAAACATCTTTGTAGATTAAAAAAAAATACACTTTGCACTTAAAATGAGAGAGAAGCGTCAATGGGTCCCATGTGTGTACACACAAGGCTACATTCCACTGTGTGTCCCCATAAACACTGCTCAATCCAGGAGCGAGGCTGCCCAGGATTCCATTACCCAGAGGCTTAGAAACACAAACAGCACTGCTTGCCTCCCACCATGTAACAGTGCCTCTGCAAACCAGCCTCAAGCTCAGGGAAGAGATGTCTGGGAAAGTGTCACAATGCCCAGCTCCCAGAAACAGCCCTTGTGCGCTTTTACGCTGGCCTCTAGACCCAAGATGCCCTTCCCCTCTCCCACCTCTCTGCTGGAGCTGGTATCCAGTGCCCAGCAGAAATACCCTCTAATTGACTTGCTGGGCTACATGCATTTAGACGAAGTCCAATCATCTCTGTGCACGTGGAGAAGAAGATCTGATGCACAACTCATCCACGCAGCAGGGCACTGGTGTACAACTCAACCTCCTTACAGCGCCGCTTGCCTGGAGCTTGGCTCTCAGTTGCTATTGGAAAGTAATGAACACGTGCTTTTTTTGCTGTTGCTATTTGTAAGAAAGTTGTGTACAAATGAAGTTAAGAGTTAGTCTGTCCATGCCAACTTGAACAACCAAGAAGGCTCCTTAGCCCTCCTATGGAAAATGCTGGCCAATGTTTGAGACAGAGGGAGAGACAGTGGTCTGGTGGAGAGGGGGAGATGATGCCACCTGCCTGCATCATAAGTGGCATCCCCTGGCCACACAAGGCTGGACAGGCACCAACTGCACAGCCGGGGCAAGAAGACTGTCTTCTTCACACAGTCCCACGACAAGGAGATCAGTGTCTTTAGAAATGAAGTCTTTCTCTGTTTTAAAGTGCCAGCTTCAGCAAACGTGGGGAGAACAAGGCCATGTATGGTAAGATCCCATCTGTGTGAGGGCAGGTTCCTCCTGCTTTTTTATGACATCTTTTTTACAGCACGCAATATTTAAGATACTTATTTTCAAAGGGGGGGACCAGGGATGTTTTCTGATCTACTCAAATGCATAGTAGGCCATTTTAAATATCTGAATAAAGGAATAAATTGTTTTGAGATTATTTCTAGTGTTTGCATCTCTGCTACGTTAGTAATAGAAGGGGAGAGCTTCCAAGGAAGGGGAAAAAAAGGTGGCTCATGGATGTATACATGGATTGTGGTAAGAGCTGTACAAGCCCCCAATAAAATGATTTAAAAAATTTTTTAAAAGGTGGCTTGCACCATAGACCTCAGGAAGGTGGCTGGGACCCAAGTCTCAGAGTAACTATGTGGACAGGGTCTGTACAACATCAAAAACAAAACTCACTGCCAACAAGTCGATTCTGACTCAACCGATGCTATAGGGCAGGGTAGAACTGCCCTTGTGGGTTTCTGAGACTGTAACTGTGTATGCGAGTAGAAAACCTCATCTTTTTCCTGAAGAGTAGCTGGTGGTTTCGAACCACTGATCCTGTGGTTAGCAGCCCAATGTATAACCCACTGTGCCACTAGGGCTCCTTTTACAGGGTCTACATGGACATGTATAAATGAAAGCTCAAATCTGAAGGAATAGATGGGAAGGAGCAGCTCCGTTAAGGACCTTGCCCATGAGTGGCTAACAGAGGAGGCCATGTAGAAGGCAGAAGCATCTGCCTCCTCCTACCCACACCCCGAGACTAGGGTAACGGACAGACGGACTGTCAACTCTGCTGCTGCTGAGCAGCCCTGCTCCAGAGGGCTGCAAGCTATATGAGAGGTGAGACCGCAGGTCTTTTCTCCCACCGAGCTGTGGGTATGGTTGACCCCCCCACCCCACCCCGACCTTTCTGGTAACAGCTGAGAGCTTGCCCACCGCGCCCCCAGCACTTCTTGGAAGGCTATTGGATAACCCTTAGTTCTTTGTCCTGTCTGGCATTGAACTTGTCCTAGGTCCTGGGGGATGAGGACAGAGAAAGAAAGAGTAAACTCAGGCGGGAAGAAGAGAAGTGGAAAAGGGGCAGCCTCTGTCTGCTTAGGGACACTTCCTGAGAGTGTTGGGGGTGTAAAACTTGCTGTGTCAATTTTCACCAAAAATACAATAGGGTATGATTTTAAAAACATAATGGAAAGAAGCATACCGTCTGTCAAGGAGGCTTGTCCAAAGACAAAATTCCAGGAGTCTCTTGGGTAAAGATCGATCATGGTGATCCCCACGACACAGAAAGCATTTTCGGGTTTTTTCCATTTTAAGAACTTCAGGATGTCCCCTGTTTGAAAAGAAATGCATTTGTGTATATAATACTTTATGTATGTATACATGTATATGAATGTCTACATATGTGACTATATATACACACACATATATTTGTTTCCCTTACTCCACTCAAAACTGTAAAACTGTTGGACTCACCAGCATGGATTTGTAGGTTTTGGGTGTTATCATTGACTCTAAAGGAACATCTTGTTGCTGAAACAGGGATGGGTTCCAGGAGTTTTACTGTCAAGCCGTAGAAAAATGCTTCACAGTAGCCCTTAAGCCACTTAATATATTCATCACTGATGAGTTTGGTATTCCCAAGAGATCCTATAGTATTGAAAGACATTTGAAAACAGACTAAGATGAGTGAAGCACTCAGTCTTTGCACCTCAGTCTACAAGTGAGAAACAAAATGGACGCTTTTCTTTTTTTTAAT